TATAGTTAAGCAGTACATAATAGAGAAAAAAGTAACAAGTCAATCGACAAGTCTATACCAATTTATTCATTGAACTGATTAAAATGTGTTGAGCATATCTAATCTTAACTTATGTCGACATATTATGCTAGCTGATAACTATTATCACAGTTTATATTGAACCTTCATATCTCTTTATCAAATCAGTTTCCTTTCTCATTATCCTCATAAAATGTATTGTCACTTGGATCAAATACGAATTCATGTCATGCGTTACATTGATGATAACAGATTGATTTGATACTGACTTATGTTTGGATTTGAGAAAGTTAAAATTATAATTATGTCGTTAGATAGATAATGCACAATAGCAATATTTACTTATCTATTAAGATAAACCAATTATAATTCATACAATGAAAGATAATATTGAATACGGTATGTCATAAGTATACTTAAGTAGTCAAAATTCAAAACGTAAATAATAATAAAAGTTAAGAGATTATGTCACTGGTTTAAAAAAAAGTGTCAGTTCGTTACAACATACTCGTTATAAGTGATTTCTTGAGTATTAGATTATACACCATCATCTCGTACATAATACAAAAGTTACGTGAAGAAGGTAAAACTAATGTTATTACAGAATGAAAAAAAAAACTCCACAACTTTACTTCATTACACTGTTCATTTTGAAAAAATAAATAAACAGTAACATTTGGATATCTAGATGTCTTAGAGATATTGCATTAAACATTTCTCTGAGTTATTGGTTAACTTCAATGTAACAAATGTTTGAAATATCTACTCACTGGTAACTAACTTCAAGATGGATTTGGTGGGGGTTCTAGTGAGAAATCATGACCAGTGAAGTTCAACCGGTGTCTGTTGTGTAAACAAAATAAAGGACGGTTGCTCAATATCGTGGATTGGTTGAAATTAGGCATTAACACCGTTGGATACCGGCTGCGGTCTAGAGTTAGGGTTGGAATCCCGAGTACGGGACCGTGGATGCGCACTGCTGAGGAGTCCCATACTGCTTCCAGATTTCCAATGGTGGTCTAACATCGATCGGTTCATGATCTCAATTAAAACCCAACAATCTCGATAACACAGTACTATACTGAATAATTATTTATCCAAACTAACGTTTTCGCATTTATGATAATCATAGCCTTGAAGGATCTAGGAGTTGGTGAGATTTGTTGTATAAATGGTTACTAGTTACTCAAAAGTCAGTTTTTCATGGTTTTCGTAATACAAATAACATATACGGATGAGTTATTTAAACAAGATAATAAAAATGTTTTTGCCTACTTATAAAGAAACATTTCTCAGGTTATCTAACCAATTGATAAATGTGAACCTAATAAGCTTCAACTAGATTCAGAATAAATTCACTCTAGTTTAGATGACCAACAAGTTGCATAATCTTTGAAACTCTGCTATGATAATTATAGTTATTTTTCATAAATGATGATATTTTAACAGCTGAAATATCTGCAGTGTTAAATGTTCAACATGCGATGTGTATTCTATACCTTTAACCATTATCCATTTATTTAGTGGTGAATAATCTGAATAATAGCTACGAATTTAAAATAATCAAATGATATCTTATCACCTTAGGCTCAATCTAGGTAGTAATTATATTTGAAATAATCTCAATGATTGGAACCTTTGCATAACTTCAACTATTCATCTAGAAACTGATTCGAGCTACTTTTTTTATGATTTTGAACTAGTTTATCAGATTAAACGTCGAAATTATTTGAAAATTTCAATCAATGAGATTATTTCAAATACAATTTTTACATAATATTATCTTGGTGGGTAATCTCTGTCAAAACTATTTACACCTTTATTAATTTATTTGAATACATAAATATTGGTACAAAGGGGTGCCAAATGCATATGTGACACATAAATCAAGTGAGTTGTGTGTCTGTCTCGGTGCCCAAACCGAAACAGGTGGTTTTCTTAGGGGGCTACAAGCCCGAGCCTTTGACCTAAAGGTATAAACCATAAGGCAGTGGAACAATCTTAGGAGATGCAGTCCCATGGTAGCCGGTGACCAACAATAGGTTCATACACTATTTGTTCCTTTAGGATCCTGGACCCCATGTGCACTATTGGTTTGAAATCAGGATTTTTCAACTCCGCTAGGTGGATCCACCAACTCGGTTAAAGTGCCAGACATTCGCTTTTGGTACTCTGAATTCCGTAGATAACACCCCCCACCACAAGAAGATAGTGAGTAGGACTTCTTTGGCAGTGGCTGTATACGTGTATCTCAAGTGGGAGAGCTGACTCATCCCACCCTCAGTCCTAACAGGGACAATTAGGGACTGTTTACACTTTAGTTTCATTTCATTCACCAAATATGTTAGAATAGAAAATAGTCAGAATAAATTATTTATTTATTCAATAATTCATTGAAAAGATATAACAAACCTATTCATATTATTATATATATTTTTTCCAACAATGATGAGAAATACATATATACGTATGTAAGTGTATGCGTACATACACATGTGCATATCCCTTTTATTTTTCTTCATTCATATGTAAACATACACAAATTGTGTTGTTTTTTTTTTAAAAAAAAAACAATTAAGTAGTAAGTAGTATCAATAGGTGAATTGGAAAAAAAACTATGATTAAGCAGAGATGTGAATAACAACAAAAATATGTTCCGACTGAAAATAGGGCATTATTATTATTATTATCTCTATAAGGATTTATTTACTATTATTACAGTTATATTATAATTATTAGACAAACAAATAAACAACATAGATAATATGAAAAAGAACAAAAAAAGAAAACAAATAGGGGTGACAATCAATTAAAAGTGTTACTGGGTGTGTGTATATATATATGCGCTAATATGACAGTGTATATATATATATATATGAATGTAATCAAAGAACACTAACAGTACTCATCCATCAATAAATAGTCTATTAAAAAGAATGACAATCATTTAGATAAATTAGATCACACAACAACATGATTATAACAATATGGATAAACTTAACCATAATCAATTTTCATGACCTAATATAAATATTTTGTTTTGGTTGAGAAAAAAACAACAACAACAAGAACAAACGAACAAAATAATCACACTATCGAACAAACATCATAAGGAAAACAACTTGAATTATTATTGTTTTTTTTTACTATTCAATTGTCAAAAAGTAACAGTAAACACGTGCACGCACGCACGCACACACACACACATGCACACGTATATTTACAAATTGAAATAAAATGTTGTAGTGGATAATTCGAAATAAAAAAGCGGAGTGAGAATATTTGATTTTATATAAGGGGAATAAAACTTGTTCTGCTGTTGTTGTTTTATTGAACGAAATAAAAGAAAGCAAATAAATTGATGAGAGAGAAGAAAAAACAAACAAACAAAGGATTACTTTATGTTAAGCAAAACAACATACATTATGAAATAGATTGAGATAACAAAAACATAATTTTTTTGTGATACTATTCAGAAGAAGGGAAAAAAATCGTCATCAGTAAGGGAATAATTTCATCATTAACTTGTATATATATTTTACGTGTATAGTTTGAATGTATATTGTTTTTCGCATGAAATTAACAATATCCCTTTTAAACATGCACATTTTCAAAGTGTTTAAAATAAATGAGTAACATAAATGAGGGAGAGAAAAAAGAAAGTATGATGCATAACAGAATGGTTAAAGGAATAGATAATAACATGAACAATATTTCTATTGTGCTCACAAATCAAACGCTTCCAGAATGTTTCAACTCATTAAATAATAATGGAATGACAATATTCTGTTTTTTTTTGTCTTTCTTTCTTTTTCTTTTCTTTTAAGACAATCAAGATATAAACGTGAGCATGAAGTATAATGGTGGACTTTGTTTTTAAATTTTTTTTTCTTTAAAAAAAGGGGGAAAAATCAATTATAAGTAATAGTTCATCAATAGAAACGGAACATTTGATTTAACCTATTTAAAAACCATAAAACACATCATACAAAATATGAAGAGATATTATCAATGTAATTCAGTTATCATTAGAAATATTCTAATATTAGTATTGATAATGGTACAAGTATTATATGCTAGTAATAATAGTAGCCATTGGAAAAAAAATATAACAATTACAAGCATAAATGATTACAAAATTTTCTTTACTTAAATTATTGAAGTATTGAAAGTGAATTTTCTAAATAGATGCCGAAACAAAACAAAAAATATTGACGATATAGTTTTTAATGTACATTAAAAATTATTATTTTCAATGTTTATTAGTAGTATTGTTATGTTCTAAGTGAATAATTACAAAGTTTATGCTGAAAAAAATCTTCACATTCATTGAAGGAATTGAACTTTATAGAATAGTTTTATAGTTTACAATCATAGTATGAATTAAAACAAGAAAAATAAAAGGAAATGAATAACCACAACTTATGCACACAAACATACATACACACAAGAAAAGCATATTTTATAACTCTTCATTGAGATCAGAATTTTTTCTTTTCTTTTCAAGGATATATATATATATATATATATATATATATCGTGTGAATTCGTATACTGTAATAATAAACACTTTTCTCATATAATAATAATAATAACAGATGAATGAAGAAAGAGATCGATGGCAACGATAGGCAACTCTTTATGCATAACACAAAGAGAAAGATGAAGAAAGACAACAAAATTCACTGCGATAAATAAAAGTCAATGCAAAAAAAAGAACAGGACGATAAAAACAAATCAGAAGAAAACAGGTGACAATAAAAATCATTGGTGAGAACAAGTTGGAAATAATAAGCACTTGGAAAGCAATAATGATAATAGAACCACTATCATTGTCATTATTATTATTATTATTAGTAGTAGTAGTAGTAGTAGTAGTAGTAACAACTGATAATGGTTGTGTTTGTTTACAGTCAGTATCAAATGTTCAGTTGTTAATTTAATTAATCATTTATTATTATTAATATTTTCGCCAATAATATTTAAAATTCACCAAATTCTTTTGCACACTTCTCTGTTGTAGCAATACGTAATGGTTCTTCTTCATAATCATCAAAATTACTTGCATCTCCAGCACCAGAACATTTTGGTGTAAATGGTGCTTCAATCTAAAATAATCAATAAAAGATTTAATTATACGAAGAAATTTATGTAAAAATGAATTTTCAATCAGTAAAAAGACAACCGGTTAAAGTAGATTCATAACTAAAAGTGAATAATACAGAATACATAATTTGTACTATATAGGACTCTTTAACTGAAGGTAACTGTATCCAAGTATTAATGTTTCAATTGAAAATCAATCCCAATACTTTACAATTCAAACGTACATGGTGCTATCCAACAAATTATTTAGTTCAAACGGTCATTAGCTTATGAAACAAATATGAAATTCAATTTTCTTTCTTTTACAATTTGTATTTTTCTTCTTCTGTTGTTGATGATTAAAGAAAAAAACCCTTCAAGTTATTCATGCAGGGTACTACATATAACTCAAATAGTAGGATCAATTATAGTTTTAAGCACTAACAATAGAGAAAATGTTAACTTTTATAAATGATTAAGTTTGTAGATCAAATTCATTGTTAACTGTCTAACAGACACAGACCAATACATTCAACATATTCAATGAATTCCTTGAACTGTTATGTTCTTAATTGACAAGTCAAATAAAGTATTCTAACAGTTGAATTCATGAGTCGATTGGACCTAGACCATCATTGGAAACCTGGAAGTACTGGACGAACGTTTCGTCCTAGTATGAGACTCCTCTGCAGTGTGCATCCACGATCCCGCACACAAGTCTTGAATCCAGGACCTTCGGTCTCGTGAGCAAACTCTAGACCACTGAGTCGGCATTCAAATAAACGAATCATAAGTGAACGAAAAAAAGTTATTATCAATAACAGTTAGTTCACCGAAATAGCGATCAGTTTCCATGCCTATTTCAAAAGACTGAGGGGTATGTAATTTAGGTATGAGTAGTTTTTTATATGTATGATTGATTAAAACTGATGATAATTTAAGTGACTGAAAAACTGTTATTTTGCGACGGCGCAAAATATTTTTGATTTAAACTGTTAACAGCATGTTGTTTTATAAAATTGAAAATATGTGTAACGAGTGAGTTGAGGTTGAAGTCGTAATATTCATGACAATGAGAAAGATTGGACATTGGAAAATAAGGTAAAGTATGGAAAAACAATGGAAGTGAGCATCGAATAGGATCAGAATAAGTATATATATATATATATATATATATATATATATATATATATATATATATATATATATATATATATATATATATATATATATATATATACGCTACCGAAACTGATTCTGAGCAATTATGGGACCCAACATCACCAATAATCAGTGTATAATTCAATGATAATTAATCAACCTGCTTTAATGTAAAGCACTAGTCATGTTATGCAATATACAGAATTCCGTTATTTCATAGGTCAATCTACACTATGAAAAAGACTACATGACGTTAGTAACCAATCATGGATCATTTGTTGTGAAAATCGCAAACCTAAAAAATCAGTAATGGCTCAACTACTTTATTCTTAACGTTTTTGATTCCAGCACCAAGCATTAGTATGCTAGAATCCGATTGGGAGATCCTCTGTTCCCTTAACATAACAATTAAGCCCTGTTTATCTATACCAACAAGCACAAATGCTAGTAATACGGGATTTCTATTCGGAATGACTACAAATGACCAGTCCCTTTGAGTATTTGTGCATACCTGAACGAACTGCCCTGATACTACCAATTACTTACAACACTAAGATTCACACAATAAAGGCATCTATTTAAACTAAAAATTTTCGCCTTTATATGAATGTACACATGTATATACAGAAAGCAAAGAAATAATGATTATATATAATTGTTTATAAGTAAATTTATAAATCACAATCGATCAGTTAGTCATCGTAACTAGTACGGTCGGGGCACAAGAGAGTCAGCTCGCCCGTTCGAAATGTTCGCAAGTGGCCACGCGTATACATCCACTACAAGGGAAGACCTACTCACTGACTTCTAGCACTGTGGGTCTTGTTTACGGAATCTAGGGTGAAAGGCAGATGTACGACACTTTAACAGGGTTGGCGGACATGGACGGTTCACCTAGAGGAGTTGAAAAACCCCCATTTAAAATCAGTGATGAACATGGGCTCTACAACCCTTTGGGAACAAATGGTGTATGAACTAATTGTTGATCGCCAACTACCATGGGAATGCATCACCTAACGTTGGTCCAGTGCCTTGTGGATTAGATTTTTAGGTCAAAGGCTCGGGGAATGGCTCCTTAAGAAAATCACCTGCTTCGGTTTGGGCACCAGGACAGTACTCTATCCCTCACACAAATCATTCGATTTGTGTGGCGCATTTATATTTGGTGCCTCCTTGTACCAACTTTTATATATTTAAATAAATAAAGAAGTGAATAATAATAATAATAATAATAATAATAATAATAATAATAATAATAAAAGAAACGAAAATAACATAGTACTAATGATCATACAAAAAAATTGAAAGATTGGAATTATCAAAATATGAATATCTTGGCTACCTGTTTCTGCCAATTAGATATTTCAACAAGTAATCTGTTGTTGTTTTCTGCTTGTTTTAACAAATCATTATGCCTGGTAGTGGCATAATCTATTCAGAAAAGTTAATTAATGAAAAGTATACGACCATTCTCTGTACAAGTTACAAAAAACTACAATCAGAGACATCGTGATGGCTGACAATATGCATTGAATTGAATGAACATGATTCAGATGTCGATTTCTGATCTCCCAACATCTAACTGATGATCACTCAATATTTATCATCAGATCCGATCAAGAAATAAGAAACGGAAAACTTGTTGAGATACTTTGTGCTGAGAATTTTTTATTATACCAAAATAGTAATTTTATTATTTTCAAGGATTTTACTTTATCTGATGTATTACTTATTTTTAAATTGAATTTAAAAATGATAGTATGATGGTAAATCAGTTGACGAGGTTATGAATCTGCATCGACTGAGATGGTTTGGCCATGTATTACGGATGCCTGAACACCGATTACCATTACGTGCAATGCCGACTAGTGTTGGGGATGGTTGGAAGAAATTTAGGGGTGGCCAAACCAAAACGTGGCATCAGTGCTTGAAGACACTAACCTCTAGTCTGAACCATGCTGGTAGATGCAGACAACTTGGTTTGGGTCCACGTGACTATCGTAACCAATGGTTGGAGACTCTGGGTGACATGTCTCAGAATCGATAACAATGGCATCGGTGTGTACACTCTCTGTCTCCCCTTAAACTATGAGAGTGAAATTGCTTTATAGCTTTCTTTCTACCAACTAATTCTTTCTTCCTGTACTATATCCTTATTGCAATCTTTCTTTTATATATTACCACCAATGAATTAACTACTTCAATGAATTTGGTGATCTTGTTGTGCTAATGACGTATGGCAACTTGGACTGATGCATACAAGTGCATGATCCTACGTTGCAGCTGACTGACTTTAAATTGAATAGTTTATTTATGAAGTTTTCTTCATTACTTTAGATAACTTTGTATTAGTACTTGTTTCATATAAAAATCACGAAGCTTTTATTTATTCTATATGTATTTTGCTTTGATGACTTTGGTTGAAACTGATTAATAGTGAGATATGTGAAATTCCTTCCAACCTATTGTATTGTAGTGTATGTTACTTATGTTGACAGATATATGTAGCACGTAGCAATAATCGGAAATGGAATGCTTGCGTGCAGAAGTTTGAGAAGATTGCAGTAAAAAGAAGAGAAAAGGAAACTGAAAGCATTCAAAATACTAAGAGAATGAAGGAACAATGAAGCTTTCAAAAAACTATTCAAAATAGATGTGGAAATGATGTAGTTAGTGTATGATTTCTACATTTTAACAAAGCACTCTGTAATTTGGGATTAAACAATAAATCGGTCACCCCTATCATGTGACGATAAGGCATAAAGTAAATGGATGCGCATTGCTGAGGAGTCCCATAGTAGGACGAAACGGCCGTCCAGTGCTTCCAGGTTTTGCATGGTGGTCTACGTCTAATCGACTCATGATTTCAACCTGTGTAAATATATAAATTATCAGTTCACTGCTTCTAAAAGACAAAATAACAATGATGTTAGTTACGTATTCGATATGATCGATGAAAAAAGTGAAACTTTATTTACATATTTTAGAACTTTCCCCTTACGGTTCATTATTTAGTTAATCTCTAAGACGTTATACTGTATTATAATAAGTTATATTTGTCTCAAACTGATCTCAGTTGGTATACCGTTGAAAACCAGATGGCAATGAACAACTGTTGCAACCTAGCATGAGATCCCTCTTATCAGTGAATACTTACAATTGTGACAAACATTGAACACAACACCGATAGTTTTAAAAGCAAGACTTTTAACAATTTATGACGTCCAATCGTACAACCTCAACTTCAATCGATTTAAGATATAGCGTGATGATAACTGTTCCATTCTCAACATGTTTAACATTTTATCAGTCATAACTCTTCACCATGAATTCAAGAATACTATCTTGAAATAAAATATTAATGAGATATTTTAGTGGAAATATTTTTTGAAATTACAGTGATATTTCTTTTTGTTTTAATAGTTGATCTCATGAGTCAACCTAATCTAGACCACCTGGAAGTACTAGATGAAAGTTTCGTCCCAGTATAGGACTCCTCAGTAGTGCGCATTCACGATTCCACATGAGACTCTCAAACCAAGGAATTTTGGTCTTACGCATGAACGTTTAACCTGTAGATCATTGGACCGGCATCTGATAGTGTTATTGTTTAACTTCAATCGATTCAAGATCTTGCGCAACCATCTATTAATTGTCTGATGTGGATAACTTTCTCTACCCAACATGGATTTTTTTATTTCCCTTATTATATATTTACTCAATAAAACTATCAATATCATCGTATTTTATAAAATTAATATGATGAAAATTTTTGATTGTTCATTCAATGAAACCATAGAGACTACCATCAAATTCATTTCAACAGTAATATTTACAGTATTTGAGATCATGAGTCAATTGAAGCTAGACCACCATGGAAAACCTGGAAGCACTGAATGGCCGTTTCGTCCTATTGTGGAACCCCTCAGCAGTGTGCATCCACGATCCCACCTCGCGGGATGCCAACCCAGGACATATCAGTCTCGCATGAGAGCGCTTAACCACTACACTAATGAACCAGCCAGCATCCAACGGTGTTAATGTCTAACTTCAACTAATCCATAAAATTAATCGACACATCCACCATTGTCATCAGTGAGTTACTATCGCAAAACAGACCCGGTTTAATCCCACTGGTCACTGCTTCTCACTAGAACTCCAGGATATACATGTTCAAGCCAGTCACTAGCGAGCACATACTTCCACCAGGTTTTCCACGGTGGTCTAGCTTCAATTGACTCATGACCTCAACTGCTGAAAGTAATATCTACAATAAGAGAATTTTTAAAAAAATTAACATTAAAACTATTTTTTTTAAAAAGAAGATAAAACTTACATCACGTTTAAAAATAGAGAACCAATCAGTTGTTGCGAACCATTTATGTGTTTTAATATCATTAACACCATTTTTTAAATTTCCAAAACGTTTAGTTAAATCAACTTGTAAAAGATTTCTTAGTAAATCTTTTAAATCAGAACTAAAGTGTGACGGGAAACGAACCTGATTGGGTGGATAAAATATTAGTATTATTATTACAATAAAGCAATTAGTAAGAATTATAATAGTAGCAAGAATATGAGGAAAGTGATTACAGCGTTTGGAATTATTTAGTTTAGAAAAATATATGTATATAAACGTATCATTAGTTTACTAGGTAGAGTAATTTCAGAGAAAATAAAAGTCAAGTCTTAATTGAAGTTAAAATTATCTTTACATCAATAGTATATAGTAATAATGTATAGCTGGATAATAGAAACAATAGAGAACTGTAAACAACTTATTTTAATACACTTATCAAATGATTACGATATTATAGGAGGTGGTATTCAACTACTTATATAATGCACTAGTAATATGTGATATTACTGTTTATTGTACAAAAAAAAGAGTGCATCATACAATTGTTATGTGTATCTATTAATAATAACAAGTTAATAGAATGGATAGGTCGGAATTATTTAGAAGATTTGGACTTCGCAGATGATCTGATTCTTCTGTCCTATAGACATCAACAAATACAAATGAAGACTACTAATGTAGCAGCAATTTCCGCATCAATGAGCCTCAACATACACAAGGGAAAAAGTAAAATTTTCAGATACAACACGGAGAACATCAATCCAATCCCATTTGATCGGGAAACTCTGGAAGAGGTGGAATCAACAACAGAAATGATGCTTTCAGAAATGTAGATCTGGTTGCTACTATATCTAGTGATGACAAGGGACATAGGGCTGAAGCAAACGTAGATACGCAAATGATTTATGAAATCCCTAAGCCTTGTGAAGGATCTGACGATGAAAATTTGGACACTTGTGCTGCGCGTAACTTTTTCCAACCGCCAGGCGTCGAATACAGTTTAGAGGAATGGGTCAGATCTATGAGATACAGATCATTCAGTTATTTTGTCAGATCTACAAGGACTGCTAAGGGTAACCTATGTATGGAGTGATACGGTTATAACATGTAAAAATGGGTTCTGTAAGTGCATACCACACTTAATATTGCTTTTCAGTGTAGATATCACAGAGCATTCAATGAGAACACAAAATGGTCCTTTTTATGGCCTCCTCAACAAACTGATTTAATACTCCGGGTTTTTTTCACTCGTATTAAAAATAGTCCGGTTGCTTGAAAAAAATAGCCATGAAATAACTTTTATACTAAGTGCGTGTTACATATAGCATAGAACAGACCAAATATAACTACCTAATAATATATATGAATTTCTGCTTTAATGACGTTCATATAACGTGATGTTCTATTTGTAATCAGTAAGTTTTTTGGATAGATTGATGTATTTAAGGTTAAACAGATAATCTGTAACAGACAGTAAATATGAGTTATTCTACGTCTGAGACAATTACAATGATATCGATTCCCTGTTTGACATAATTTATCTGTCATTAACATCGTATTTTACCATTAAATTGAAACTAGTAACATTAACGTAATATGTGCGTGTAATTGTACGCACATATTACATGATTAAACTACTTGATCCATTCGGTGTTGTAACAAAATGAGAATTGTATGTTAAAACTGTGATAAAATTAATAACACCTTACAGGTGAATATTATATTTTATTACAGATTATATATGGTAAAATTACATGTAACTACGATTGTACAGTTTTAAAAAATGCAATTGTCTGAAAAAACTCTTTTTTTCCTGAAAGGTCTACATTCTTTTTATGTTAGACCAGCAATGAAAACCTGGATGCACTGGACGGCCGTTTTTTTCTAGTATGGGACTCCTCAGTAGTGCGTACCCATGATCACACGCGCAGTTTTCAAACACAGGACCTTCAATTTCGCATGACTAATTTAGTTGTTCTTGGCTTGAATGCTATAGGTAATGGATATGTGGTTTATAACTCTCTTAAAAAGTGGTAATTTACACTTGCAATTGATTAGTTTTTTTTTCAGGTAAACTAGTAACTATGATCATGATAAACTTGTGTTTATGAAGAGTGAACTATCCAATTTCATCATATTCGTTAGCATGTAGAATGTATTCATCATTGAGATCCTATACTACACAACTTTGGCATTATACATATTTCATATGTGCAATAGCTGACAAATGAGCTGTTTTAAATGTCTCCTTTTTTTTAATCTCATTTAAACATCTGATGACTTAATTGACATTTAAGTCATATTGGAATTTATTCTTAACGGGATAATCTAAAAACAACTACACATATAAATGGAAAAACTTAGTCCAGTGTCTACATGATTAATGAGAATAAAAGTTACTATTTCCTTCATTCTAGGTATTTATTACCCAATATCATTTCTTGCAATGGTCTTCATTTAAATCTAGTAATTACTGTTATTATCAGTATTTCATTTACGGTTTAACAATACTCATGAATAAATCTGTAAATCTCTAAAACCACTTTGTGAGTAGTTTATAAAATTATACCAAGTTAAAGTTTTCAAGATTAAGATACTTTAATCATATGACAACTTATCCTTCAATATTATTTGATAATGATTATAAAAATTATAATAGAAATAACCATTTATGTAAACACATTCAAATGTTGCATTTGAGTAGATAAAGTAGAACTATGAAACATGATGGATCAGATCAATTGAACTCTTTGGACTAGTAAACAATGTTTATATCTCCAATTCATATTAAATGACATTACAACACATTATCCTGCTATTAACCAAATCACTGCATGGGTTTATATATGATTAGTTTAGTAAAAAGCAAAACAATTGTTATATTCGTATTCAATTGATTCCATAAACTCGTAATTCTAGTAATATACTAGTATACACATTTTAAATTTCGAATTTTGTTGTCTTTCTACATCAAATGACGTTAATTCTCTCTATACACAGAATTAACCGTTGAACATGTTCGAACAAGAGTTCATCATTAACTTGTTTTAAGTCTTATACATCGTTAATAATTAATATATCAATTATTGAACAGTTTGCCCATTAACATAAAGGTTAAATACGATGAATTGTATTAATTCATTATTAATTAAAGTTAATTACTTTGAAAATTGATTTTTTCAAATAGATGAGCCGATTGAAACAACCTTTTTTGAACCTACGACTAGAACAATCCAATAAAAATAATAAGGTATTATCGACGAAACTTAACCAATCAGACTGTAACAAAAAAGTTGGGTATTAATAAGACAGTGACTACAGAATCGGTCTGGATCACATAGTAATAAAGTTAGACAGAACTAATTACATAGGTCAGTTCTGAAGAAACTTAACAGGGTAAAAATATATGAATGTTATTCGCCACCATCTTTACCTCGTACAAAACATTTCAGTAATTATATGAAGCTGCATAATCTTATTTATATGTAATGTTTTTACATGTTGTAGTCTATTTATTAAAATATCAGTGTTACAAAATGATCAAAGATATTTAAACTGATTCACGTATCGGATATGAAAGTCAATGAAAGTGAATGGATGATAATTTTATCATCTATGATGAAGACAATGACCCTAATAAAATGATACAAGTCCATAATAGAATCAAAGTTGAATGTTGATGTTCTACTAAAACGAAGACCAGATGGATCTCTACAACAATCGATATACAGAAAGGTAATCTGGTACAAGAAGCATAAGAACATGCATGATTGGATGCAGCTGCGTAGAAAGAGAATTTTAATCTATTTTCTATCCTCAAGAGCTAGATGAATATGAAATTGAAGATATACTTGATGATAAGTTGAATATAATCTGATGAAAACTTTAATAATAATAACAATTTAGAAACAAAACGTCAAGTTGAAAGTATTTTCATAGTTTCGAATAAAGTTTTATTCTTAAACATTGAATGAGAGGGAGATACAGCCAAATGATACAATCCCCTCTTTATTCAATACCAGAGAACTTTGATTACGCTGAAATAACATCCATTTATAAAGTTTCGCCAAACAAGAATTTCAACTATTTTTTTTGTTCTAATCGAATTCATTTCTGTAGTTGGTCTAGATCTTATCAGTGATATCAAACCATATTTAAACAATGAAATACTAATAACACTAAGAAGAAAATTCATAACACAGTTAGATAGGTAAATAAAATGTAAAATACATTAATTATAAATTATTTATTTTTTTTGTTAAAAATGTCAAGTAACAATATCACCTACTTTTCCTGATACAATACGTTCATAAATTTGTATTGGTTGATCAGCAAAAAATGGTGGATAACCAGCTGCCATTTCATAAACTAATACACCAAGTGCCCACCAATCAACAGCTTTATTGTAACCCTACATAACAATATAATATTATGTATTAAAAGAAAAAAAAAGTAGTAATGAATAGTTAGAACAAATTTTAAATATCATTCAAGTATATTTTTTTGTTGCAATAAAAATTTATGGCAACGTCCGTGAGACTATAATTTGTGGACGAGCCAATCAAAAGCGTTTGAGGGATATCAAGTTCATGAAGCCAATTTCAGTACCTGATGCTCAAATACGATCAATTCACAGCGGATTTTAGATAATTAAGCGGCTAAAACAAATGGGACTATTAAGAAGTTCTTTTATTTGTGATCATGATAATTAAGTAATTTGTGAACCTTGTGTAGACTACCGTGATGTTGTCTTTCAATGTAATATGTATTGCAGGAAGAAGTCTGCTAGAATAGGATTTTTTGCTCGATCCAGATTGATAATTGTTGCCACTTGGATAATAAAAGTGACAGTAACACTGGCCACAGCTAGGTACTACAATATATACGGATGATTGGAGAGCATACAGATGACTACATAGACTTGGTTATGTGCATCGTGTCGTTATCCACAAGCGACATCTTGTGGACCCAACAACCTGAGTGCACACAAACAATATCCAAGCTATGTGGTCGAGGCTCAAAGAGTTTTTGCGACCTTATCATGACTCAAGAGGCCAATTATTATGGAGTCATACAGAAAATCTCCTCTACTGCATGTATACGATTTTAGAACCTCTTTCTAACATTGACAAGTTTTTAAATCATGTAGAAGAAGTGTAAACGCTTTATATCTCTGATTTTGTATAATACATTTTTACTCTATACTGATTGTTTTCTGATTGGCTAATATTTCTCAAGCTCACATACGATTCGTTCAAAGATCGTCTATAAAAATTATAGTCTCGCAGCAAAATCTTACACAATGTACATTTTAACAATTTGAATTCCTCATTTTCACGTTAATGTGTATTTCCCACTTGGAACAACTTTAAATGACATTGATTTGTTTTGTGTTTTTCTATGATATTTTTTTACTGTATATACACAGATGAATTGTATGCTTATTCGTTCGTATTTCCAATTGTTTATAAAATATACATTTCCATGGGTTCGAGTTCCGTGTGCAAGATCATAGATATATGGATTACTAAGTAGTCTTATACTAAAACGTAATAATCATTCAATGTTATCAGGTTCTTAATGATAATCTAATTCATAAATTCAACTATTAAAATGTAAGGATTATTGAAAAAAAATAAACAAAACTACCGAAACAACTATTCATATAACTTAATATCAATGTAATATAATATTAGAATAGGTGATTATTGTTATTTTATGTTACTAAGTTGATTGTATCATTGATTTAAGTATAAATTTAACAAAATGGGTTTTGTGGAGAGTTTTAGAAATTTCACAGGTTGAAATCATAAGTCAGTTAAAGCTAGACCACAATTGAAAACCTGGAAGCACTGGACGGCCGTTTTGTCCTGGTATGGGACTCCTCAGCAATGCGCATCCACGAAGACAATGGTGTACGGTGGCGCAACTTCGTGAATTGGTTGAAGTTAGACATTAACACCGTTGGGTGCCGGCTCAGTGGTATAGTGGTTAAGTGCTCGCGCGCGAAGCCAGTAAGTCCTGGGTTCGGGCCCCGCGTGGTGCGGGATCGTGGATGCGCACTGCTGAAGAGTCCCATACTAGGACGAAACGGCCATCCAGTGCTTCCAGGTTTTCAATTGTGGTCTAGCTTTAACTGACTTATGATTTCAACCTGTGAAATTTCTAAAACTCTCCACAAAACCCATTTTGTTAAATTATTACTTTAATCAATGATACAATCAAATTAGTAACATAAATTCTAAAAAAACAACATTAGTTTCTATCTGTACTCATCAATTATTTATTATCTAAAATTTAGCAAAAACAAAACGAAACAAACATTGAATGAATCTAGATAAATAACAAGCTGAAAATTTTCTACATGACCTTAAATATTCAATAGTTTATTATATATATGTATTAAGGATTATTTAGTAAATTTATATAATAAGGTTAGACAATGACTGAATCTAATTAATATTAATAATAATATTATTATAAGATTATGTATATAAAATAAAATTGAAAGTCCTTAAAACCAACTTATTAATAAGTGAAATATTATAGTTCCCTAGTTAAATGTAATATCATTTTATTATTCATAATAAGCATGAACTGATCAGTTCGTTTAACATGATTACTATTAGTAGTATAATCATTCATAGTAATAATAATAATAATAATAATAATAATAATAGCGGTGATAATAATATGAATATGAATGGATTTCACTATCCTTAAAATCGATAGAATTTAGGAGAAAAAAAAATAGAAAAAAGAAAATAGTCACAACATAGACATATAGGTCAATTAGGTTAGAATAAATAGCCAAGTAATTGATAACAGAGAAGGGGATATATATAATAGAATTAGAAAGGCAGACAGATAAATATCCTGTTAGTTAAAAAGAGATTAGAAATAGTAGACTAAAAAAAACTATTGACTTTTTTTCTAATTTCTTGAATATGTTGTATTATAAGTAATAACAATATAAATTATCACAATAAGCCTTTTTAAACTCCTTGCAAGTATGAACATTAGAAAATCCATTAGTAATCAGACTAGCCTAGTTCTTGTAATTGTTATCCGAAAAAGAATTGAATGTATGTACCGTATGATAATTTTACTATCCGATATTATCATTCATTGAAATCATGAACCAATTAGTGATTGACTACCATTGAAAAATCGGAAACACTGGACGGCTGTTTAATCTGAGTATGGTACACCTCAGCACAGTGGATTAGTTGAAGTTAGACTAACATCGTTGGAAGTCGGTTCAGTGGTCTTGAGGTGAAGCAATCGCACGTGAGACAAAAATTCCTAGGTTCGAATTCCACGCGCAAGATCATGGATGTGCACTGCTAAACAGTCTTATGCTATTACCACATGGTCATCTAACACTTCCAGATTTTCAATAGTAGTCTAACATTGATCGATTCATGAAATTCAACAGTTTCCACAACCGTAAATTGAATATCATCACTCAGTCGACTAAATAGTGCTTTCACATTTTTAACAATAGCCATTGAAATGGATCACAATTATCAAACATGTCCTTCACATTAATTCTATCAGATATCAGGTTGCACTAAATGATTAAAACTTGAATTCAAAAATTTTATAGTTTGACAAGAAAATGCTACATTGATATTTATTTTATTTTAACACATAGATATTGGTACAATGAGCCATCAAATATAAATGCGCCACACAGATTTCATTTGATATGTGTGAGGACTGTGATACTGACCGGGTGCCCAAACTGAAGCAGATGGTTTTCTTAGGAGGCCACACCCGAGGCGTTCGACCTGAAGGTCTAATCCACAAGGCAGTGGAGCATTGTAAGAAGATGCAATCCCATGGTAGACGGTGAATAATAATTGGTTCATACACCATTTGTTCCCTCAGGGTACTGGAGCCCATTTGCAGCATTGATTTGGAATCAGGGTTTTCCAACTCCTCTAGATGGACTCTCCATGTCCACCAACCCGGTTAAAGCGCCGGATATTCACTTTATGTCCTCTCAATTTCGTAAACAACAACCCCGCCACGAGGAGGCAGTGAGTAGGACTTCCCTGGCAGAGGCTATATACGCGTGGCCATGTGAGAGCATTTCGAAAGGGAGAGCGGACTCTCCCCACTCTCGGCCGTATCAGGGCATTTGGGGGCAAGGTTGTGATGGGGTTGGGATTCGAACCCTCGCCCTTTCGGACTGGTGTTGATACCTTTAAACATAATAACACTGCTTATTTCTAGAACTCCTAACAACAATATTATTGTAGTCTGGAATAACAGGAGAATATTATTCTTTCTAACTGTAACATAAGTTCAAAATTTGCAAGAAGTGTGAATTTTCCTTTTACCAAACTGTCGTCGTACCAATTTATTGATCTAATTTTAATCTATACAAAATCTAGATTCAAACATTTCAAATGATTGGCAGTTTCTATCTATCCAAATTGACAATTATCTTATTGGTTATAATTGTATTCATATTAAATACCAGTTAAGATAGAATATTCGTTATTGTTTTGAAAAATAATACCATTTTGAAATGACCTTAATTACATGATTAATAATTATTATATCGATCTAATAAAATGAAAATACAATTAGATAGTAGTATATGGAATTCATATAAAATATTCATATATAACAAATAAATTTTGTAATAAAGTCCCTTACTAGAAGACGAGAATCAATAATAAAAGGCATGTAACTTGTAATCTGTATTATTTATTTAAATAATGTAAAAAGGCTTTGTTGTCCTTGTGTTAAGTCTATTCTATACACATACTTTCGTATGTCTTGAACAAGTTTTTGACGATAATTATTAGAGTTTAGTAAATATTGAATTGGAGTTTAAAGCGTTTTCGAATTTCAATGTTGGAATATCAACACTGAGATTCATAAAAAGTCTTCTATAGGATGATAAGTACATTCTAAATTTCCATGTTAACTACTATCTAAATATATTAAAACATTCTATAACCAAAAATATTACATACTTGCACACTGACATTCAAAAATATAATTGACGATATATAGCTAAAAAGTTGGACCATTGCTTGTATTTTACTGAGAATATCGATTTAGTCATTCTCAGATTAGACATAAAGTGCCGGGTAAGGATGGAAAATCGATTGACCAGGTAGAGAATATTTATTAAATGAGATGCTTAGAATATGTATTACGCACGTACCACCACCTACCTTTACATGTGCGATGATGGATAGTGAAACAGTAAGCTGTGAGAAAACTAGCGGTGGCTAAACTAAAACGTGGAATCCGTCTATGTTATTGACAACTGGACTGAGCCATTTAAACATAAGTAAACTACTTAATTAACGCGATTACCATAACCAACGGTTAGAAACTTTATATGACAGCTAGTAACCGTTTACAATAGCACGAGTGCATCCACTC